AAGTGATATATGAATAGGTTTAAGATCCAAATCTTCAAAGAATTTAATATAGTTAATAGTTTTGTATTGATTTAAAAGAAAAAGATATAAACAAGCAAGATTAATTGCAATTTGAGAACGTTTGGGAATAGAGTAAAGAGGTAAAAAATAATTTGAGTATTAAAGAAATTTATATGTCAGCAAGCTAATTTTAATATTCTTATTACTATTAGATGTATTGTGATAAGTTTTACAACTTTTGTTAAAAACTAAAAAACAATTTACTTAGTAAAAAAAAGTTTTCTTTAGACAAATATCAAAAAATCTTCATATTTTTATTTATATGATTTATATATAGAATTGTATTGCATTACACTATAATAATTCTTCAGTTTACTAGAGAATCATTAATTAATATTATTTATTTTTTGTTAATAATTTTATTATTTTATTTTTGCATTATAATTAATAACTTTGTTTATTTTATTATTTTAATTTATATTAGTTTCAATATATATTTGTTTTAAATTGTTTTTTATTATTGTTTAAGGGTAGGGTATTTGTTTACATGTTTTTTTCATGCAATGTGCAAATAAATATGCATATACAACCAAATATACAATTATAATTAGTTAATTTTGCAGATCATTAAATTTTGATTGGTTTATTTTCATGCTATACGCAAACAAATAGTAACCAAATACCCTACTCTTAAAAATTTTTATAAAATATTTTTAATTATAATAGACAAATCGCAAGTTATCTAAACAAATATTTTTTTTATATATAAATTTTACTATAAGCCTAAAAGTGTAGCACTTCTATCTAAAACTTTTTTTATTAAATAAATCACTCTTAGGCTTATAACAAAAGTTGTAAAGCTCATCAAGATACATCTAATGGTAGTAAAAATATTAAAATCAGCCTGGTAGTTCTTGAGAAATCTTTAAAAAACTTCTTGCTTACATATAAAATTTCTTTAAAAAAATAAAAAAATTTTATATATAAACGAAAAGTTTTTTAAAGATTTTTCAAGAACCACTAGGCTGATTTTAATATTTTTACTACTATTAGATATATTTTAATAAGTTACAACTTTTGTTACAAGCTCAAGAGTGTTTTACTTAGTAAAAAAAAAGTTTTAGATAGAAGTGCTGTACTTTCAGGCTTATAGTAAAATTTATATATAAAAAAAAATATTTGTTTAGATGACTTGCAATTTGCCTTATAATTTTTTTATCTTTCTGTTTTTTTTTATTTTCTTATTTTTAACTTTTTATTTTTTATTTAATAGTTTATTATTTAAAATTTTTTTATTAAAAAATATTTTTATTTATTTTTTTTATTATTATTTGAAAGTATATATATTTTTTAAATTATATACTAAGTTATATCTAATTTAGATATTTATGATTTAGTTATTTTTTACTTGATATATTAATATACCTGTTTAGTTTTTATTATAAATATATAAAATTATTAATTATTTTTCTAATAATATCTTTTTATATATTAGTTTGATTAAAATAATTTTATTTCCAAAATATTTATCTCAATAAGATGATTTCAACAAGCTTAAAATCATCCAAATTTAATTACAGAATCTCAATATATTCTTGTGTCAAATATATAATGTATCTCTTATTCTGAAATAATTAGTTCAACATAGTTTTTACTATATCAAACTGATCATTCTAGAGTAGGGTATATCACATATTTGATATAAAAATATCTCAAGATTCTGTGATTAGATTTGGATAATTTTGAGATCGTTAGAATCATTTTATTAAGACAACATTTTGGTAATAAAATTATTTTAATCAGATTAATATATAAAAAGTTATTTTTAGAAAAATAATGAATAATTTTATATATTTATTATAAAAAAACTAAACAGATGAATATAATTTATTTAATTTAAATAGATATTTTTTTATAGAAAAATATTTTTTGTATACTTGCATGATCGTGCACTCCTATATACCATACAGCGCGGACCATAGTACCCCGGATATGATACATTCTACGGGCAAAATCCAAGTTAGTACCCGGGTATTATATTTGGCAATTTTTTTCATATAAAAATTTTTTACTATTAATAAAAATCAATTGATATAGTATAGATATTCCTTATATTATATCCAGGTATTTTACATTCCACCATATAATTTTTTTGAGGGGTATTTTGATATAGGAGGGTACTATGGTCCACGCTGTATGGTAATTGGCCAATAAAATTTAATCATATATTTTGATAATCGTTCTTTTTTTGCTGATTTTGTTTTGTTCACTTTTGTCACTTTTGCTATTTTTGCTGTTTTCGCTTTGCTGCTTTTGCTTTTGCTGCTTTTGCTTTGCTGCTTTTACTTGTTACTTTTGCTTTGCTGCTTTTGCTTTGTTGTCTTCGCTTTGCTGCTTTTGTCTTGCCACTTTTGCATATTCTTTTCGTTTCTTTTTTTTCCTTTTTTTTTGCTCATTTTCACTCCTTTCTTTTTACTTACTTTTTTTTGCATTTTTTTTTTCATTTCATTTTTTCAATTTTTTTTTTACTACTTACTTTTTTTCGCTACTTAATTTTTCACATTTTTTTTTCATTTTTTTTTTATAATTTCTTTTTTTTCACTTTTTTGTTTTCACCTCTTCTTTTTTGCTTCTTTTTTTTGCTCTTTTCTTTTTTCTCTCTTCTTTTCTTCATTTTCTTTTTTTCATTTTTTTTTTATCTTTTCATTTTTTTATTTTTTTGTCTTTTATTTTTTTGTTTTTAGTTTCTTTTTTTCTTCTTTTTTTTTCACTTTTCTTTTTTATTTTATTTTCTTCTTTTTTATTTATTTCTTTTTTTAGATTTTATTTGTTTTTTCTTATCTTTTGCCTCTTTTTTTTGCTTTTTTTTTTGCTCTTCTTTTTTTTTTCTTTTTTTTTTTGTTTTCTTTTTTTTTTTTAACTATTTTTTTTTTTTTTTTTTTTTCTTTATTACTTTTTTTTTTTTCAATTATTTAATTTTAAAAATTTTTTTTTTTTACTATTTACAA